TGAACTTTCTCTCTCTCTCTCTCTCTCTCTCTCTCTCTCTCTCTCTCTCTCTCTCGGATTGAAAAAAGGTTATATGAGAGGGCATGCAAAACTTCGAATTACCAAAAAAAATAACAACTGAATAAATTAAACTTAGGTAGGTTTATCAGTGGAAGATCCAGAGTGTGGAGTGGGGTGAGTGAGACATACACTCTCCACTAGACCATAAAAAAGAAAATAGAAAATATAGAACATTCTCTGTGAAAAAAAAAGGTTATCAACTTAAAATTTTGAAAAACTGGAATTAGCTAATAAAAGAAGTCGTCACTTTAGAGTTTTGAAAACCCTTCCATCACGGCAAAATTTTGGACACAGTGCCAAAATCAGGACTCGCCATTGGGGAATATTCGAGAATTTTTTTAATTGTAAAATATTTTCCGCTCGGTTTCTGTGTTGTTATTTTATGTTTATGTATTTATAAGTTCTATGTATGACGCATGCGTTGGTGATGTTAGTATTGTTGACGTGATGATGTTAGTGTTGTTGATGTGATGACATTAATGCTGTTGACGTGATGATGTTAGTGTTGTCGATGTGATGATGATGTTGTTGTAGTTGAGGTAATGTTAATGTTGTTGTTATAATAATGTTGATGTTGTTGTTGTAGTCGTTATTATGACATTGAGTTGTTAATGATTTTTGTGATTATGATGTTAGTGTTGTGGTGACGATGACATTGACGTTTGATTAAACCCAATACGTGGATGGTACGCTTGTGTCGATGCGTTGCTGTAGTTGTTTGTCGTTGTAAGTATCGTTGCGACGAATAGATTGATTGAGGAGTTGTTCTTAATGCTATTGATGTTGTGATGTTGTTGGTTTCTTCTAGCGTTGCTGTCATGTTAATGTAACACGGATGCTGTTTTATTGATATTTTTGCAATGTTATTACGCTCATCAAATTCTGACAGTTTTCTATTAGTCTCTGAACTACGTTAGGTCGGATTGATGGGCATTTATGAAAATATGCGCTTTATTGCTTCAACATATGTGAATGTCTATGCACCTATTTGTGTGTGTGTGTGTGTGTGTGTGTGTGTGTGTGTGTGTGTGTGTGTGTGTGTGTGTGTGTGTGTGTGTGTGTGTGTGTGGTGCCGATCATGTCTTGGTCTATAAAAAAAAATACACATTAATTAAAAATTACTCATCTGTGAATAAATCCTAACTCATGCATATATAGAACTTGCATGGGCTAAATACGTCAGAGTATAATTGAAGCATGGGTGGGAAATATATGAATGGTCCCTTTTTGTAATTTCTTTTCTCATATATATGTGTAACACACACAGATGGCCCGGCAACTCCTTAATTGTAACGAATTATTAGACATAGTAATTCTGTTTCGGTTTTTTTTCTTCAAAGTTTACCTAGCTTTTAACTTCAGCATGAACTGTGAGTGCAGTTATCAGTTATCTTTAACGATATCTTCTAACTCCAAAATATCAGTAAAAAGTTTTGTGTTAAAAGTTTTTAAATCTTCAATAACGAAATTTGAACATTAACATTTTTGTTTTAGTGGGAGTTTTGCTAGATTTTTATTTCAATTGTTAGAGGGCAAAAAAACTTTTTAAAAACACCTGAAAAAGCTGAATTAATCGAAATAAGAGCTGGCAATTGTACATACAAAATATTTATTTATAGAAATGTAAACATTATTTTGGAGTCATGTTTAAATGGCGTTTAAAATATAAATTCTCGATAATTTCTCAGTTTCTTTTTATAGTTATGTACGTTAAACAGATAAATTCGTATTAATTAATCGCTCTGTATATAAATATGTAGTTATTCGAATCCGGGATCAATGTTGTTTTTTTGATTGCTGGGTGTTCTTCATCCATTCGTCAGGAAGCAGATAAAAATTGTAGACCAACAAAATGAGGTGAGTGTCGTTTTTTGCCTGATGATAAGACACTTGGATACTTTTGTAGTCGGCTCATGTTCATCGTTAAAAAAATTATTTATGGATGAAAATTGTTTTCATCGATGCGTCATTCATTTATAATGATTTCTATAAAATATAATAATAAATTGACAAAAAGATTGATGATAATGTCAACAAAGAGCAGCAAAGAAGAATTGAATATCATTATTAAAACATCAGATGTGCAAATTTTTACATGACGATTCCAAAAGTGATTTTAAAAATGTTAAATAGAGTAAAAAAATTGTTGAGTTACACGTTTTTAATTAAACAAGATTTTCACTAGGGCATATGGTTGTAAGACAGATATATCATAGATATACCAGTGATAGCGTTTCTGAGCATCTATCCGTCATGTCTTTGGCAAAATATTTTACATTTTTTTGTGCCGTCTGCCATGTGTGTGTGTGTGTGTCTGTGTGTGTGTGTGTATGTGTGTGTGTGTGTGTGTGTGTGCGCTTGGCAATAAAAATAGGATGCTCTATCTAGGAACCGTTATGAAGGATTGCTCGTGTCACGCGTCTGCTGTGACTTTCGCGATGATATTTACGTTGTTGTTTATGTTGTTGTTATTTATGTTTTGTTGATGGTCGTATTTTAGTTGTTTATTTTGTTGAAGTTGTTTATGGTTTTGTTTATGTTGTCGTTGTTTATGTTGTAGTTTTTAATTCATTGTTTTTTATCATGTTTATGTCGTTGTTTTTTTATTGTTGTTTTTCCACATCTTCTTGTTTATGTGTTGTTGCTCAAGTTTGTGTTGTGTGTGATGTTGTAATGCGGCATTTAGGGCAGCATTTATTCATTTGATGTGAAGTTGTTATGTCTTTTTTTGTTAAACCTTTTGATATTTCGTTGTTGTTGTTGCTGCTGTTGTTGTTTGTATGGTTGTTTGTTGTTGTTGTTGTAATTGTTGTTGTGTTGTTGTTGTTGTTAACAAGTCGATGTGTTACTGTGTTGCTGGGTTGTTAATGTCTTTTGTGTTGATATATTGGTGCGGTGTTGTGTTGTTATTTTGCTTACTCCTGGTGCTTGCTTGCTGCGAAGTAGGTTCCTATGAAATTCAAGTCATTTATCAATGTCTGAGACTGAACGATTCAATGAATAATGAACATGATCCGAATTTGAAAAAAGTTTCGAATACACAACTGAAAATTTAAAAAAAAATTCATTTAAATTTATTAAAAAAAAGTTTCAAGCATATTTTCGTTTGACGTCATAGGTGTTAGGAATGTATGGCGTGACGTACCCGGGAAATAATAGTTCAATTAACAATCGCATGAGCAAACAACATGAAGGGAATCTGTGGGTGCAAGTCGGAACACGCACACAACCTCTCATTGTTTGTTCGTTCGTTCGTTTGTGTGCTACTTCATAAAAAGTGCATGCAAACAAATCATATCAGCTCTTCAAAAATTTGTGTTTTTTTCAATTTCCCTCCATATTTTGATATAAAACATCAAATTATTTAAATAAGTTTCTATCACAACTTAGTTTTTAAAATCATTTTACTGCATGTTTTTTAAATTATTTTTTCACGTGACCCCATTGCAAATTATTTTGAGTTTTTAACATTCGATCACTTTTACAAGTCGATAGCATGCAATTAACTCCAAGCATGGAATGCAGTGTAGACATTGACTTTTAATAGAGTTAGACGCAAAAAATATGACTTTATATGCACAAATATGTTTTTACATGCAATTATATATATATACATATATATATATGAATATATATATTTATCTATTTATTTATATTACATAGTTTTATTAAATTTATTTTGTGTGGGTTAATTGCAAAACATCAACAACAACAACAATAACAACAACAACATCAAAAACATCAACAACAACAACAATAACAACAATAATATTAATAACAAAGCCAGCTTCGTCAATCACTCAAGTAGGAAGTGATTCCCGCCGTCAGGAGCACATGTCGTCAGACTTCCTTAATATGGAGAGTTTTTATTTTTTCATGGGTGCGCTCACTTTTCAATCATTCTCCGACCTTCAACATTTGCCCATCTATCTATCTATCCATTTGCCCATCTATCTATCTATTTATCCATCTATTCATTTGCCCATCTATCTATCCTTTCATCCATCTATCTATCTATTTGCCCATCTATCCATTTGCCCATCCATCTATCCATTTATCCATCTATTCATTTACCCATCTATCTATTCATTCATCCATCTATCCATTTGTCCATCCATCTTCATCCATCCATTCGTCAAACAGCCATCATAAACTTTAACATTCCTAAACATACATCAAACAAATTAAAAATTTTAAATTAGTTTAACTTTTTAGATTTTTTTTTGTTGACCGGCTAAAGTTGCGGCGATCCTTCCTACAGACTGACAACTTTTTGCAATATTTGTGAAATTGCTTATCCACATTTAAAAAAATTTTTTGTGTTAGGATTTTTTTTGTCAAGTTGAGTTGGATTATTTATAAATAAAGATTTAAATAAAGAAATTAATGAGCTAATTAATTATATTCTACCAAAATTATTGTTTCACTAATCATTCATGATTGTTAAAACCTGGTTCGTTTGTTCAGGCTCTGAAAATCAATTTGTGCACTTCGCAGACTCACATAATTACAAAATGAAAAATACAATTTCAACTATAATACTGTTTGTAATTTCGACGACTACTTTGATGACACTGACGAACGACTATGATGGCACACAACAATGATGATAATAATAGTAACGATGATGAGTGAATGATGTTGTTGATGATGTTACGATGATGATGTGGTTGATGATTGTAGCCTGGTATCTTGTGAGATTAATGATGACGCTGTTAATACAAAAATATTGCCAACCAGCCGTGCCCATCATAACACAACAACACAAAAAACACCCGACACATTCACTCATAACTACAAATATTTTACGTCAAATATTTTACAGTCAAATAAACTGTTCCCAAAATAAATGCATTCATACTAATAATATTCACTCACAAAATAAAAATTAAACCAAATCAAAAACATCTACAAATAAATAAATTTCCACATATTTTCAGGACGAAAGAAGCCAAGTTCTGACCACAACAGGTCTGGTCATAGCGGTCAGTTGTCTGTTTTTTGCTTGCATCATCATGTTTTAATAACGTTGCTACTGAGTTTAAAATAACTCTTTTTTTTATATTTGATACATTTGAAACTATTCAAAAAATCGTTTTTTAAATGAAATCGTTTCAAATATAAATCAAATTTTGAGCAAGGTGTGTAATACATGATCCGACAAAAAATAAACTTAACGTGCAATCACCTTCGCTGGCTGGTTTGCAAAACTGTGGGCATGTCTCTGCGAAGAAAAATTTTTTTTCAACTATGATTGAAAATATTTTACTTCAAAAAGAAAATATCTTCGATGAAATATTATCAATTCTCTAGTTCACTTAATTGCTCGTATAATCATAAAAAATTTCATTTTTTAATCTTTAATGATTTAATTTTTCAACAAGCTTTCCGTCATTTATACACTGTTGAATTGCTGTCTTAAATAAAAAGTTGTTGGCATATATTTGAAATTTTTTTAAATTAATTAATTAATTAACAGATCATCAATTTATTAAAACGTGTGTTTTTAATTCATCAACGTTTTAAAATTTTATTAGTTTAGTTACTGGCAAACTATCCATCCATTCATCCATCCATTTGTTTCAATATTGGTTAACAGTTTATAAATCTTATGTTTAATTTTCAATGTAATCATTCATAAATTCATCCACCTATCCGGCCATTCATGCACTCATTCATTCAGCCATGCATTTACTATCTATCCATCCATTTATTTGTTTATTTGTCCATTCCATTCATTCATCTATCAAATCTTCATTCATTCACCTACCCATCTATCCATCTATTTAACCATCCATCCCTCCATCCCTCGACCAGGAATGGTACGATGAAAGACTAACATGGGACCCGCAATTATTCGGAAATCTAAGCGAGATCATCATCAAAGCTGACAAAATTTGGTTACCAGAATTGGCTGTAATGAACGGGTCAGTGCAAATGTTTAGTCATGTGTGTGTGTGTGTGCGTGTGTGTGTGTGTGTGTGTGTGTGTGGTGTGTGTGCGTGTGGGAATGTTTGTGTGAGGTTTAATAACATGAGAAAAAGTGATTATTGGAAGACATGCGTTTGCGTTGAAACGTGAAATATGCACTCGTCTGGATATTCAATCTAGCCAGACAGTGTTTGTAATAATTCGTGTTTATGTATAAGTCTTGATATCCAGATAGATAGGTTTTGTTTGTGCGAACTGGGAAGATGTACACACTGATGCGTGAGTGTTCGCGTTAATGTGTGGTTGCATAAGGAAGGGTGTTTGTTCAGTTTTTGGGTTAATCGTTACGTGTCTACATTGTTCTTTTTTAATCTTGTCAAGCTGTGCGCATTGGGAAATTTAACATAAATTTTTGTGGAATTCTTCCAAGTAGGAAAGTATTTCGTAGAAAAGAATGCATATTGTTGAAAATAGAGTTTATCTCTAAAAAGTATTTTCACTGTTTTGTTATTATGTCTTTATTGCAGATAAACAAATTTAAAAAAGTCTTTTTTTTTATTACTTGAATTTTTTATTTCAAATTTATTTTTACAATTCAAGATATGCTGGAAACATTTAGAAATAAATTCAACAAACTGTAATATTTATGCTAAAGTCGAGGTAAGAAGGTTTACTATAATAGATAGTTATCAGTTATCAGCTAACTTAACAGTCCAACTGATTTTTATCTCTTATTCAAGTTATTAAGAAAATTATTGAAAATAATCACCAAACAATTATTCTCAATAATAAATCATTTTCCAATCGCTAATATTTTACGAAACATCCTTCTTTGCTTATTATCGTTTTGCATGTTTTTTAGTGTAACTTATGTTTTTAAAAATCCAATTGTTATGACATCAGTTGTTACATAATTTGAATGAAAACAATTTTATTCTAAGCAAAAAACTAGCAGAGCAGCGTCAATCTGAGTCTAGTGAAGATATGTAATGAAGGCAAGATGAAAGTGAAAGAGTGAATGAATGGTGTTTTTGCCGAATGTGCAATCTCGATTGGATCTTCGTTATGTTATGACTGCCAGTTGAGAATGTCCCAAATAAATTATGACTGCCATCCACTCAGCGATCAATTCCGGAAAACCAGTTTCTCTATTTTTCACTTTTTGTTTCTTTCAAACAAAATAAAATGGCCTAAATAAAATCAATAAGGAATGTTAAGCAAGCAAAAAAATTACAAAACAATTTGAGAATAGTTCAATTTTACACCTAAAATATTTTGAACTGTACGACACTGGTATAAACATTTATCAATTTCAAATGAAACAAGGTAAGTTCCAGCTTTCAGGCTCCTAACCATACAATTTTTAAAATATTTCATTTTTTTTCTTCGGCACCACCAAAAGATTTGGATTATGGTTAAATCTGTTTTTTTTCTTTTTCCACGAAATAGCTGATAAACTCGTTGCAACTTGAACATTATACGATCAGATCACGTTTATTTAATTCATTCATTAATATTAATTCTTTGAAATATATTAAAAAAGTTAATTATTTTTTAGTACTCAAACAAACGCTACACCTATGGGGACAAAATTTTTGAAGCCTTCGTCTGCTTTCATCACAATTCAATTTGAATAAAGATTTATTTTTAAAGTTAGTTCATTCTCAAAAGCTATTAATATTAATAAAAATTTCAAAAGTATTATTTTCATGAATTTTTTCTTTAATTTTCTTAAAAAGTTTAAAAAGCGCGCGCAACGACAGATGCAACAGTTGATGACAACCTGGCAACAGGATGTTGATGCGTGGCAGTGCACGTGCGTGTTGCAGATACAAATGAGGAACAATAGTTGTGAACTTCGTTGATTACGAGTAAATAAACGACGTGTTGTTGCAACGGCCTACGCGACAGACGACACTTAATTACAACACCAGGCAGACCATCACGAAATGATGTATCAAAAAGTCACGCTTCTAATATTTCACGCATTGCGCAGCACGGAAAATCTGTTTTTTTTTTTTGTCAGCGATGTATAATTAAACATTTATAAAGAAACTGCCAAGATTTTTCGAAAAAACTGCAAATTTTCAGCTTTTCCTAGTTTAGCTTCCAACTTTTTGTAAAAAAAAAACAACAAAAATTTGACAATGAATATACATTGGTAATTAAAAAAGTTTTGACTGTCTTTATTGCAATAATTTCAATGGCAACAATGTAATGTCAATATTTCGTCCATAAGCTGAATCGTAAAATTTTTACATCCAGCCGTCAAGAAGCAAGTAAGCAAGCATCGTTCATTATTCCAGCTATCACTGAAAATTAAAAACAATTTTTTTTGGCAAAAATTGTCACTCAGAAATATGAAAAATTCGTCTTTGTAAGCTAAAAAGTAATGTTTTCTAAATTGAATAAAAGTTTCGGTGCTGCTGAATGTCAACGCAAGGATGAAAGTTATGAAAGTTATTTTGAATTACAAGACTCTCACAGCAAATTAATACTAAATTTTACTATTTCAAATAAATTATTAACATTGCTACCTGACAAATTTGATTTTTTAAATGTTCACGAACTTCGAGTTGAGAAATTTAAATATGGTAGAAATGATGGTAAAAATACAATTTATAAAAAAAACATGTTGGCAATCAAATTTAGAGCCATGTTTTACAAAATGTAGCTAACATTTGATGTGACGTGATAAACCCTTAACATTTCTGAGAACAATTCCGTCTCCTTACAAATATTTTTTTGACAAAAATCTATTCAATTTAAGTGCCATGGGAAATCACATTTTACCATTGGTCCTATGCTGGCTACATCTTGTTGTCGTGTCTTGAATGTTAAAAAAATGGACATGCGTGTGTGTGTGGTGTGTGTGTGTGTGTGTGTGTGTGTGTGGTATTTGTGGGGTGTGTGTGGGCTTGTGTGTGTGTGTGTGTGTGTGTGTGTGTGTGTGTGTGTGTGTGTGTGGGCGTGTATGTGTACATGTATTTGTGTGATCAAATAAGGAAAACGAAGTTAAATTGAAGTGCTCGTTATTCTTCCTCATAAGAGATATTACAGTGAAGAAATAAACGTCCAGCAGTTACATACGTGAATATTTTTGTTTGACAACGACAATTTACATTTCACGGGCAGATGCGATCGTTGAAGGGATAGATAGGGCTGACAGACAGGAAAGACAACGTACTTTCTTACATCTGACTGCTCGATTATAGATAAATTTTCTCAGCGTTAAACCTTTTTTAAGATTTTGCAATTTTTTTGGAATTAATTTCTATTTAAACAATCTTGTTTTAAATCATAATTTTAATTGAATATTTAAAATGTTTAAAAAATGTTGGAAACTGTAGAAAATGTTTGCCCCATATATGATGTTAAAATTACACATTTTATAAATTTATAGAATTTTGTTTGGAAGCAGCTTTTAAAAGTTGTCTTTGTCAACTTCTTATCACTCATGTTTGCAGTCGTAATGAAAGATAAGAAAAAATATCTGAAGAAAGAACAATACTTTAATAAATGTTCGGTTATTAGTGCACTTTTGCTTATTTCACAAGATTGATATTGTCTCTGGATGCATGTCCAAGATAACATTAAAAGTAAGGACTCTTTTATGGAAAAATACGTGTGCGGAGATTTCACCATTAATCTAATCCATCTGGAAGACAGAGATAATTGTTGATGACTTGCTGCTAATGCATGGCGGCCAGCCAGCGGGGAATTTTTGACGGTTTAATGACTTTGCGTTTTTTATTTAATTTCGTTTTCTATTTGATTTTGTTCAATGATAAACAAAATTTTATATTTACATTTTTAGTTTCCAGGTTCATATTTCTATTTTTGATTTTTTTAAACTTTGAAAATAAATAAAACCAATGATTGTAGAGGGTTGGTTGCAGCGTGCATCTAGCAGTCTACCAAGTTTAAATAGTAGTAACCGTTAACAAAATTGGTCACTCTTTAACTTATACAAAAATATTTACATATGTAAAATATTATAATCTTTTTAATAATGCCAACAATTCATAAATTTTTCACTGTCGCTTACGTGCAACGACGTAGCTTTTGGCTTGGTTGATTTGTTCATTAACTTAGTTAATTAATTGCTTCCCTTAGTTCTATCAATCCATTGTAAAAATTTCATATAAATATTCAAACCTTTGTCAAAAATAAATGATGAACTTTACAAATAATTTTTTTAAATATTTATTTATTCTACATGTTGTTGGTTTAAACTTCGTTTTTAATTCTAAGTACAGTTTCAGATTTCAAGTCTCGTCCATAATGTTTGACATTTTTTAATTCTAACCATTAAGATAATGCGTGGTACGCTGTTTCTAGGGGCTAGGTATTGCGACAATTTATTTATTTCTCGGAGACCAAAATTTTTTAAACTAAGGGTAGTCTTGAAAATAATCTCAAGACGTATGAAGCTAATACTTTTATATTTAAATTTAAGTTGCCCATGGCAACCAATTTCAACATAGCTTCTCTTCTTGACTATAAAAAATTTACTGTTAAAAAGTAATGAGTGTTCTGAGTTGAATTCTATATAATATTATATATATGCGTGATATATAAATACATTTTTTTTCTAATTTTTATTTTTTGCATAGCAAATTCATTCAAACTTCAAAAGTAGAAATACGCACCCAACAAAATTTAAGTAAACCAAAACTCCAAGCACATAATCAAACCTTAAACCGTCACTGGATGTATCAATAGATGAAATCTTCCCCATCGAAAGTGTAATAGTGAGATAGTCCATAAAACTTACTTAGTTATTTAATAATGAACATTTCAAAATTGAATATTTTTGATTTGACTTTTTTTTAGTTGTATTTACTTATTGCTGAATTGTAATGTAAAAAAATGCACTCGCTGATTTCGTGTACAATTGAAAGTTTAAGACTGATTATGAACAGCGACTTATTTTGATATTTAACGATTGAAATTTTCATTAAAATGCTTGTACGATATACGCTGAGTTTTTTTCGAATTCTCATTTTAAAGGCTTTGCTAGTGTTTGTAAATATCTCTATGTAGGCTTTAATTAAAAGATGAGATTAACCAGCAAACAGTTAAATTGATGGCATTTGAAAAGTTGCGAACTATAAAAACTTTTAAAAATATCTGAATTTTATTTTTTTTAATCCAAATACTTATTAAGATTATTTTTATTAGTTTAACATAAACCTATTTATATAAGAATGCTATTTCTTATTCACATGAACTTTACATAAGCATCGGATTCTCGAATTACAAGTATGATTGCTTATCTTCTTCATAAGTAGCAGCAGTAAAAATTATAAAGCAAAGTTTGAATAAATATTTATATTTTGTCAAATCTAAAAATGCCAACAGAGCAGAAGAGTTGATGCCGGATTTTGAGCGGATTCGAATCCTGCTGCAGTACGACGGCAAGTTGCACTGGGAGCCTGGTGGCATCTTCAAGACGACGTGTGACATCGACATTGCCTTCTTCCCATTTGACGCCCAGCACTGCCCACTGGTCATCGGCGCCTACTCCTACTACAGCAACAGGATGAACATCACCAACGCGTCCAACGTCGTCTCCTCGCACAACTTCCGAGTGAATGGCGAGTGGCAGGTTTACGACACGGAAGCAAACTGGAACATCACCAAATTGGATGGATCACTTGACGACTGGCTAGGTTCATTGTTCTTCGCTTTCAACATTAATAATATAATTTCACTAACCATGAAATTTTAAAATATTTTTATTTTAGGAATTTTGAATTTAGTTGTTCAATACCACCTAAAAGATCGAAAAAATAAGATTTCAATTCAATGTTAAGCTCAGTGATAGCTATACATACCCTTGAAAGAAAATTCAAATACTGTGTTGTTACTGTTGTAGAGACTTTGTTGCAAATGTAAATAATCTCTTCTACCAAATGCTTTTATCATAATAAATAATAGAACGTTTCGCGTCAATAGAATGTTCCGATTTATAATATAAGACTGAATGATGGTGATTTTTTTACTGATAGTAATTTTTGTTACCACATCCAACTTTACTGCAGCGTTACATAAAAATTCCTCCAGGATATTCGCACGTTGTTTTCACGCTGCATTTAAAAAGAAGGTACAAGTTCTACATCATGAACATTGTCCTTCCGTGCGTCATGCTCTCCGTTCTCATCATGATCGATTTCTGTTTGCCTCCAGAAGCTGGAGAGAAGATAGCCTTGGGCATCTCAGTCCTGCTGGCATTCACTGTCTTCCTGCTCATGATCGCTGATAACATTCCGAGGACATCATCGGCCATTCCTCTCATCGGTTAGTTCGCCGCCATTTTTCAACTTCAACATTGTTCCAACCGGAACAAATTTTGTTTTTCACGTTCAAAAATATCGTCTGCGACCCGTTTTTGCATGCTAATATAAGATTTTAAATAATTATTAGCACATTCAGATTAATTAAATTTTCATATCTTCAAATTTTTCAAAATTTTAAAGCATGTGTATTGTATGATTTTTGGTAAAAAAAATTTATTGAACAAGACTAGGTTAATAAAAAGGAACGTCCTTAACAACAGTTATGTCCCCAAACGCGCGAAAACAATTTTAAAAAAAAAAAAAAACGCTTGAATCTCATAAAAATAAAATCCCGAGACTGAGTTTTTTGGCGAGCAAATTAGTTTTTCATACATGCACATCCCTACCATCTCCAGACACTTCCTTTTTTATTTACAGACGTCGTACGCACACCCACTTAGCATGCGATTTGTTTATGGAAACTCACCGAGTGCTTTCTTCTTATTAGCATTTGTATTCGTTGATTTAGCATGGGGATGGGGCTTGCTGTAGAAATACTGTCACGAAACAATGTTATAGGAAGGCATAAATTGATTTTTATCTTCACTTAATAATGAACGAATATGATATTTTCATCAGAGACTCGTGACCAAGAATAATTTTTTAAAAATTTGAAATGCAATTGGTATTTATGAAAAAAAGTTGTTTGTTATATTTATTAATTATTTATTTATTATTGTATGTTTTTTTATTTAATTATTCCCAGAAATAAACTTTAAAAAATGACCAATTAAACAAATAAATTAATTCTTGCAGTGACCTACCTGATGTCGACCATGTCACTTGGCACCATCTCCATCTGCATGACGGTCCTCATACTGAACATGCACCACAGGGGTCTCAGAGGTTACGGAGTACCTTACTGGCTGGGAAAGATTTGCTTTAGTTATATCGCTAAATTCGTTTTCATCGAGACACCATATTGCGATTGGCCTTACTACACGACAAATCGATATAAACCCCAAGAGAAAAGATTGAAAATTTCAAGAAATAATTCGAAAAATTACGAAGTTGAAGGTTTCGACAAAAAAATTAACACTTCTGAAAGGAACAACAAATTGATGGAGAGCAAATTTCGAAACAGAAAAACATGCCGAGATTTGCTTAACGAAGAGATGAAATTTCAAAGCAAACAACCTATGCCCTTGGAGAGTGTTTCTTTGTGTAAATCAACTGCGAAGGAATGTTCAACAGAATCTAATCTTTTAAAATATGATTCGGAGAACTTCCAAAATAAAAATTTGATAAATTCTAGTAAGTATCTAATTAAAAATTTTAACGGAAATAAAGTGAATAAACAAGTCCCAAATTTTTCATCGCAAAATTCTCAAAATTATGAAAACGAGGTGATATGGAAGAAACATAGTGACTGCACCAACTTGACATCATTCATAGATCCATTATCAAAATTATCCGCCCGCAATTTGTCCTCATCTTTTAAAAATTATTCCTCCGCGAAGAGAGAGTGTAGAACAGCTAACAACTCGTTGGATAATGCAGATGGAAACTTCATCAGCAGTCCCCAACAGTCAGACTTGAATAATTTTGGTAACTGGGAATTTTCATGTAGCACAACAAAACAGGGTACAAACTCGCTCAAGTTTTCTTCTGATTATTTTCCTTGGTCGACGTGGAACGCAGGCATCAACCCAAACCTAACTCTGGAAGATGAAACAAACGCAGTTGCTATGAATGTCAATTTCAAAAAGTCTAAACCCAACAGGATTTCAAACTGCAAAATATCAAGAAAAATTAAATCTAACTCTATAAATCAATCAATTTTGGAATTGAATCAAAGTGTGTTGATCGATAAAAGAAGCTGTGAAAACAAGGAAGGTTCTGCTCATTTACACTCGAACCGTGCCAACCCAACAAAAACCATTTCTTCGGAAACAAGTAAAAAAGATCTTTCACATAATAAAATTTCGCCTGATAACCTAACGAAGCGACCGACGTATAACATGCACAACATCCACGCGGCAGACATGAAACAACTGAACGTTGAATGTTTCAACAATAAAAATGAAAAGCTCTTGCAGCGTTTCGACTGTTTGGATCGCCACATTTCAAGCAGGCTGCTGAGGAGATTGCATCCAACGAACAAATGTCGAACAATTCCTCAAGGTAAACGTGAAGACAAGTCTAATAATGGAAGTTTTGACGAGCCAAGAAACAAGGTCACAGATGAACACCAGAACAGCTCTGCCGACGAATGTGATAACGAAACAGTTAACGAAAGAGACGTTCAGTCAGATGAAGAGAGCAAACCGAGTTTAAAACGAAACAGCATCAAAGAATGGCGGGAGCTAGCGAGGGTACTCGATAGATTTTTCTTCTGGATACTTTTTAGTTTGATGGCATTCTCTTCCTTTTTGATACTACTGTTCCCGAAGTACACAGGTAATGAGGTCAATCTACACGACTCCATGTGATTCTTATTGAATTGTTCGAAGTACACAGGTAATGAGGTCAATCTACACGACTCAATGTGATTCTTATTGAATTCTTCGAAGTACACAGGTAATGAGGTCAATCTACACGACTCCATGTGATTCTTATTGAATTGTTCGAAGTACATAGGTAATGAGGTCAATCTACACGACTCCATGTGATTCTTATTGAATTGTTATTTGAAGAAACTAATTGTGAATTGTATTAGCACAAATTTTACTCAAGAAACTTTTTTACAGTTTTTACAATGATTTTATCAACAGAGGTAAAAGTGTTAATGTTAATGGTGAACTTCAAATATCTTTTCTATTGAAAATTGTAAAAAAAAAGTTATAAACATATCATATAAAAATTTCAATAATTCGTTTAAAAAAAATTAGTTTATCGAAAAATTTCAATAAGCCGAAGTCATCCATTGGCGATAGAGACAAATACGGAATTTTATAATTTGCTTGCACATTTTTTTAATTGGCCACGGAATTTTTCATACCTAAGTGTGTTTGTTGAAGCACTTGAATATATTAAACGATATTTTGCATTAGCATTCGTGTGAATTGAACGGGTGTGCAGAAAACACCTGGCTTTTGGCATTCTGTCCGGAGGAATATGTTTGCAACAAATGCATTGAAATAACTTTGAATGAAAATGAATATGAATAGGAGCGGAGAAAAATTAGTTGCTGATATGGTCGATCGATCAGTTTGCTGTTGACGCAGTTGAATGAATGATGACAGGAAAGGGAAATAATGAAGATGATGAACGGCCAACAAGCGCACATGGCGGGATATTTTAAATATAGACTACCACTACTCTTGAAGAAACGCGTAGTCAAGTCAGTGAACCGACAGCCGATGAATAGAAGATAATTTAAGAAAAACGTGCTGAGCCGGAATAAGGTTCAGCAAATGTTGAACGCATATAATGATGGATGGCTACAGACGACGCTCCAATCGTAGATGAATTGTGAGTTGCAGTAAATTAAAAATTAATATAATTATTAAATGTAAAATACACTAAAAATTTGAATATAGATTACATATAATTTTATTCAACTTTAAAACTCTACTTTCGTTGATTTCAATATGCAAAGACTTCCACACATTCTCTAAATGTCCGACAGCATCATATACTTTGCTAATGATTTCGTTATTCTTACTACGATAATCCTTTTTACCAACTGACTTATAACATTGTTTAGCATCTGTGACCGCTTCTGAAATCTGTCATCTCTGAAAGAACGTGTCAGACATAATAAAATAAAAAAATGAAATTTAAATCCATGATTTATTACCATAAATAGCACATCAAAGTTAAACAATAAATGAAATCTGTCATCGTGTGCTTGTCGTGAGATGGCGTATGACGAAATATTCAACCTGTGTGTGACTGTGTGTGTGTGTGTGTGTACGTATGTGTAAATGTGCGTGTGTGACTGTATGTGTGCGTGTTTATGTGAGTCTACGTGTGAGTGAATCAGAAAAATCCATCATTCATCATATTTATTCGATTTGAAATTATATTGGAACTAGGCAAATGTTTATCTGCAAGTCTGTGGACAGAAAGTGGTGTGACGTCGAGACATTTCAAACAATATCATCATACATGAACAGCATTAAAAAGCAGACAAATGAATGATTGTTTGCTATTTAATTTAATTAAATAAAATGAAATAAATTTAAATGAAAATCGGCAAAACAAAAACGTGTACAAAATAAATAATTCAACCAGGAACAACTCGACACGATCATTAAATTAAATCTATTAACATCTTGAATTTAATTCATCCAATAATATTCCGTTTCACTCATTATTTCGAAACAATAAAAATTAACGTCCATTAAAAAGGTTTACATAGACATACCTAAATATGAAAAATATTCTTAGGCAAATATATATATATATATATACATATATATATATATAAAACCTATCATCATAATCTATTTAATGTATATACTATATATATATATATATATATATATATATATATATATATATATATATCAATACGAGAATGTCAGCACAACAATAGTGGCAAAACAAACAAACATACAAACGACCAAAAAATAAGGAGGAGGAGCTACTATGAAGCGAGGCACTTTGAAATCATTGAAAACTTTTTGAAAAGCTGATTAAAATATACAAGCGATACCTACCGTTGACAACATTTAAAGGAAAAAAAATTACGAAATAAAAACGATGAATCCAAATGAACGACGACGTATCACTCATTGAGTTTGGAGACCACAATCAGTTGATATGCATGCAAGGACATCTGCGTCAATAAAACGTGACCCTTGTGATGTGAGGAATAGAATAAAATGTCCGAAATATCATATAAAATGTAACTTTCCGTCAAACAAGGCACAGCTTTCATGGGCTGAAAAATTAAACATAATTCGAGGGCAGGTACAAAAACACATGAAAGCGGTCAGTCGTTACGTTACTGAGTTTGTTGAACTTTTTGAAATTGAAAAAATCGAAATTCTAAAAAAGTTGATAAGTTACAAAAAAAAATTAATAAATAAATTAATAAAAATGAAATAGATAAAAACAGATAAATAAAAAAAAAAAATAAAAAAAACATGATCACATATAAACGCATCACCTGAAGTGTCAATCTCATCTTCAAAAGGGCATTGGACCGTGCTGGTCGTCCGTCACGAAAACGCGCATCAATTACAATAGAATACAGCGGTACGTTCATTATCTCGGAAGGACACCATTAAACAATGCAATGCAAGTTAGTCATTCATTTCATTTATTTGCATACTTCATCCATTCGTACATAAATGATACATTTTTTTATTATATATTTATTGATATATATATATATATATAGTTTATAATATTATATATGCAAATTTCATTGAAATTGTTTGCCCATTTTGCATTAATTAACTTCTTTATAAGACATTC